ATGCAAATGTATAAATTATGATTTAAGGAAGCAAAGTAGGGTATACTATTTCAATCATTCAGGATATAACATAAGTAGACTCCTCTATAATCATATATTCAATAAGCTAGTGAATCTTCATTTATATATCTGCTTGGACTAATTTAAGTTCTAACAATGAATTCATATATTGAATTTAAGTCATCATAATTAGACATCCCTCTATTATAATGTTAATGCAGCCTCTTACCTTTTTATTCTTTGTCTTTTTCTTTTTCTTTGCTTTGCTCTTAACCTAGTAGGTAAGAAATATATCATTTATTTAATATGCAATTCAAAGTGCACAATGGGTTCTTTCGTAAAATGTTTCCTCTAACCATTGAGATCTCTTGTCTTCTAATATTTTAGATAATATTTCTTTCTAGATTCTATGAAACAATTATTTTCATTTTAATCTTAGTCTTCTGCCCTTGAAAAATCACTGACAAAAAGGAACTCATAATGTCAATTTAAGTAGGCTACTGATAAAAGCTCACAGATGTTCACTTACACAGATGCAGGTAACAAAGAAGGCACTTTTTAAAAAGCAACATATTCATGTCCATAAGATGAAAGATTAAGCCTCAAAAGAATTTAGTGACTATATAATAACTGTTACCACTTATCTGTAAAGAAATATAGAGATTCCATCCTGATTTTAAATCTACCTCTCTGCAAATAGTGTTGAAATACCCCAGTTTTCTCTTTCCTGTATTCCCACTCTACTTTCTTCTATTCCCTACTATCCTCCCACATCTACTTCCATTAGTCAGCATAAAGAAATGTATTCAGAGATCTAGCATAGTGCCTGGTACATAAGTGTTCAATAACTCTTGGCAAAATAAATGGTTATGGAAGGAAGAACTGAGGAAAGAACCATTCCAATTCAAGCTCTGTGTGAACACTGTAATGAATATAAACTGAGATTGTCTGGGATGCTTTAAGTACAGCACATGCAACACCTAAAGGCCCAGAATAAGTTCTTCTAATCCAAATATTAATTAGAGCTCATACTTCCTGGAGATCTTTAATAGATTCTGTTGAAGATTCACTGGGTATTGAGGCTCCATCTTTATTCATTTCTGCAAACTGTATTTCAGGGTTTGATTTCACATTTATATTGTACTCCATGAGAGGTGGACTTAGTTCTTCTTCCTCATTCTGTAATTCTTCTATTTCAATACCTAAATATTAAAGACAAAATCCTCAATATCTAGATGCGAGCAATTTCAGCCTCTTATCAGTATTATAAATAGGTTTGCCAAAAAAAAACCCCACTCGTCCCAGATTAGAAATATAAGACATCTTACCCTTTTTAATTACTAGATGAAAATACAGTGTCTATTTATCAACAATCAAATAATAGGTACATATAGTAGCCTGTAACCAATCAGTATGAACCTGAATGCTATGATATCTTGCTGGTATCTTGAGTAGACTCTAGATATTAGGTACTCTGGAACTTAAGTAGACTCTAACTACTAAGTTTTTGAGTATTCTGACATTGACTATTAAATACTGCAACTAGTATTATTTTAGTACATAAACTGGAAACATAAAGAAGAGAAGAAAAAGCTCTATCTATTTTTTCCATTTCTCTTCTTTTTCATAAAAAAGGCATCAATCCCCTGTTACGTGACCTTTTCTTTGACACCACAATCCTTGATATTGCCCCAGAGACTCGCTCTCAAAACTTGTGAACTTTGTCTGACTGGTCACAGACAGTCCAACATTTAACTCCAAACAAAGCCATGGTGTTGTTTTCTTAAGCATAATGTTAACTGCAGAATATGAATTACATTAAAAAATAATACCACAAAAATGGAAATTAAAAAAATAGCATCTCACCATATGGCAAAAAAGTAGATAACTATAAACAATGATAACTATAAACAAATAAAGCTATACATGCTAAATAGCCCAAATAAGCAGGTAGAGCAAGCAGGTAGGCACTTTTGCCTGCTGAAGTCTTCTGTAAGTAAAAAGTGAGAACACTGGGCCACATGCAGTGAGACAAAGGTAGACTGAGTCATTCTAGATTCAGCTGACCAGTATTGATTTGATCATGATTTTCCAAGCTTTAAACAAACAGTTCATATAATTTATCCGACCAAGTAAAAACCCCGTAACTATCCCTTAGGTATTCCAAGTTAGAAGGTCACTTAAGCATTTTATTTTAAAATATACTTACGCTGACTGCCCGTTATTGACTGTAGAGCAATTCCTATGGTACATAAAGAAAAAAACTTAGATGTACAATTGCAAATGCAACCAACAAATGTCTTACTGGGATTAAGAAAAGCCAGAAGATTTTTACATTTTAACAATTTATTCTATAAATAACAAACTTTAAAAACAACCAGCTCTGCTCACAAATCTAGTATAGACAAGGCACAATCTTTAGATTATAATGTAAAGGTTATAAAGCCATGATGAGAGAAAAAAAGTAAACA